GGAGGTACCCAAAGTTATGGGGTGACACAAGAGCTTTGACTTAGAGAATAGGAAAAAAAAAAATCCCATAGCTTGCAGAGCCTGTGGAGACAATACAGCATCACCCCTTCACCACTTACCTCTTTCCCCATCCCCAAGCAATGTGCTGTCACCCTGTTACGTCCTCACAGGAGGAAGGACCATGACAGGACATGAACCAAAGCTGTCCCAGCTCCCCTTGGCAGCTTTTGACCCCGTCAAGCAGCAATGCAGCTGGGCAGGTACTAACCTCTGCTCACCTCACCTCTGCTGGTGCAAAGGATTCAGCTCTTCTGCATCTGATCAGCAGCTCCGAGTGCTTCCAAAGGTGATGAGTGAAATCCAGAGGTTTAGAACAGGAGACCACAAGCCGCCCAGGAAAGCAGCTGATGGAGAAGCCTCCTCCCACTCTGCACCCATCCTCCACCCAAATCCCCCTGCAAGCACCCAGGGCAGCACTGGGGCTGTGAACAGCCACAGCTCAGTGCCCCGGTCCCCACATACGTACCTGGTGGCTCCAGTGATGCTCTCCCATCCCGATGGTACTTCCCATCGTGCTACCCCAGTGCTGCTGCAGATTTGGCTGCTGCTCCAGGGAACAACTCTTCCCCAAATCCACCCACCTCTCCCACCTGCATCGCCCCCAAAAACAGAGGTGAGACATCAGCTTTAGAAAAAATGTTTAATCTCTCCTTGATGCGTGTGTTTATTTACAAGTACTAAATCTGAAGAACATTAAAATAGGAAATAGCAGGATATTTACATGATCAAAGGGCATTCGACCAGCCACGCTGGCCTGTTGCTTCAAGTCTGAAACAATCACAGAAAGGTAACCAGGATTTTTATATTTTTTTTCCCCATTTAATTTTTTTTTAAAAAACTATGAAAATCCTCTGCCTTTCGCCAGGTCTGCGTCAGGTTCCCCCCCTGCTTTCTTAAAGGACAGCTCGTTGTGCGCTTTGGTTGGGACTCGGTGAGCCAGGGAGGGACCCTGCTGCTCGTTGTCCCCCTGCTCACCATCCCGAGGCTGGGCCCAGCCCCAGGGGTGGCACAGGGCTCCATCCAGAGCGAGACACCAGGGCCAGGCACGGGGGGCACTTCCAGGCTGGGCTGCATGTTTTTTTGAATCCCAAACTGAAGAGAAAAGGCAATGTGAGCTGAGGGGTGTGGGGGGCAGGAGGCAGGGAGGGACCCGCTTGCTGCAGCAGTCAGGGAGCAGTTTTGGGGTCTGGCTGCCTCAGATGGCAGGGAGCAGAGCAGGAGCTCCCTGAAATGCAGCCCCAGGGCAGGGGATGCTTCTCCACCTCACCCCATTTTGGGGCACAGGCGATACTGCCGATAAGTCTTGTGAATGCTTCCCAGCCTCTTCCCACATTTTCTCGCTCCCAGGCAGGGTCAGACCAGGACTGCCATTCCAGCTCTGTCCCCCACCAGGCTGGGGGGAGGGAGGACGAGCTGCCTGGCATGGTTAAGGACGCTGGGCATCACACAAAAGGCAAAGGTAGCACCAAGAAGCACCGGAGACTGTGGGTAGCATTGCAATGCCCTCCCTGACCACCACCCTCCCTGTTAGAGGCAGTTTAGGAACCCCAGAGGGGTGGGGAGGGGCTGGAGGGATCCTTTGGTGGACCAAGCCACAGACACGCCAAATCTCCTCAGGAGGAAGCCAACAGGAACCCATCACCAGGACCATACCACAGGCTCTCAGCATAGTCATGGCCTCAGCAAGAGGATGCAGAGCACAGCCACACCATGGCACTGCCAGCCTGCCTGGCATGACCCCCCTGCAAAACTCTGCTGCCCAGATCCAACCCAAGCCCATCACAACCAAGACACTTGCCTGTCCCTCCAGCATGGCCAAGGGAGCAACCACTGCATTGCTGCCAGGAAAGCAACAGGCTAATAAACCCTCTGCTCTTAACGGTGCTTCCCACCCTTGTTTGTCAACGAGGAAAGCTTCAGGAGGATGCACTTAAAAACACATCTTCATCCTCTCCAATCAGCAACAGGGAGGGTCCCATCACCTCTCCTCAATTGCCACAAAATCTAGACGCTTGGCTCCCTCAACAACAGCTCCCCAAAACACTCTTACCACTGCAACAGGTAGGACCCACACCACTTTCGGATAGAGACTTCCAAGCCACCTCTCTCCTCCCACTGGATCATAACGACCACCAACGCACGGCCACCATCCTCCAGGTGCCTTCCCGGGCCTCTGCCAATGTCACCCCACCAGCAGCAGCACGAGGAAGAAGCTTTGGGCCAACCTTGCACCAAAGGAGCCACAGGCACCTCTCCTCCCCACTGCAGAGGCAGGGAGTTCTGCAAAGGATCCCTCAAGGGACCCCCCAGGAGGATTCTGTCCCACTGGATCGCCCAGGGAGATGACAGCAGCTGGTGGCAGCCCCAGCACGGGGAAGGTGGGCACACAGCTGTCCTTTAAGGCTCTCCAAGTACCACATTTGATATGTGAACCTCTGAAGTCTTTCTTTTTGCTTTGTTTGTGTCTTCTTTTTTTTTCTTTCATTTTTTTTCTTTTTTCTTTTGGACGAGAAAGTGACAAATTAATTTCAAATAAAAATAATAGATAACAGGTCTAAACAAACCTCTAATATTCAACACTTGCAGTTTTTTTTTTGTTTTATGGTTTTTCTTTTTCTTCTGTTTCTTAAAAAGATCAACTCAGACTAAAATCTAGCACAGTCATGCAACAGCCCACAGCTTTCAGAAATCCAGCGACAGCTCGGGGTTCGTAGGTTTGTGAAACAATTATTTCTTTTTCAAACATAGTTTTGCTGTTGGGGTTGGGGTTTTTTTTGTTGTTGGTGGTGTTTGTTTGTTGTTTGTTTTTTTAAATCAGCATCTTCTCCTTTCCCTCCTTATTAAAACCAAACCAAACCAAACCAAACAAAATTACAACATAATGAGAGATGTGCAGGCTTCAAACGATTGTTCTGCATGGTGAGAAAGGCTTGGAGATTTCTTCCAGACCATTTGGTACACTTTTTTTTTTTTTTGGAATTGTTGTTTGTTTTGTTTTAACTGGCTGTGTAAATTCATTTCATATTTATATTGGTTCGATTCTCCTTCAGTTAACTATACAGCACCCCACTGGGGCACGAGAATTAGATTGTAACCACATATATATATATACACACTTTTATTATTATTTTTTTTTAATTAAAAACTTCATTATTTCTCCCTCTCCCCCCTTAACTTGCAATTTAAGGGAACGGCTAGAAATCAGCTGGGCTTTTTTCCACTTGGATTTCGACAGCCACCTGCTCCTGGCAGAGTCTGGCCCCGTCTGCCGTGGCCCAGGCAGCAATGGGAGCTCTTGCTACAGAAAAAGAAAGGGTTTTGCTCATATTTTTTTTTGCAAGTTTTTGGTCACCTGTTGCCATTCAGGGCAGCATTCAGCACCTTTTCATTTCTGGAAAGCACAAACCCACAAGGATCTGACATTTCGAAGGAGGCAGCCAAGGAAGAGACCTCGGGTTTCCAGTGAGACCCCCAGAAGGGTGGAGCAGAAATGAGGTGACAGCAAGGAAAGAAAGGGGGAGAGAGGAGAAGACAGAGAAGAAAGGTCAACCTTGGGCAGAAAGGCCTGCACACGTTTGGCTCCATGGGCTGGTCACCCCAAGGGGTTTTGCCAGGGGAAATCCTGCTCAGGAGGAGCTGCCTCCTCTTTCTCCTGGGAATCTGGTCCCTTCCCCTGCATCAGCACAAAAAGATGATGGGGGAAAAAAGAAATACAAAAACTTTGCTACGGCTGCTCCAACACCAGGGGATCTGCCAAAATAACCCAGACTGGCTCTCCACGAACCCTCCCGACAGCCCCCAAGCCTCTGCAACCACCACTGCTCAGCATCACCCCAGGAGAGGCAGGGGCAGGCAGCACTGCCCAAATCTCCCTGCAGCCACCATTATCAGGAAAACAAGGACGAGCTCAACAAAACACTGATCATCCCTCAATGATCCCTTGGGAAAAGAAAAAACAACCTCAGGATTTCCCTTCTTCTCCAATTGTGACCTCCAGAACCACTCCAGCAGCATTTAAATAAGAGCATCTATCCCAGCTAACAGAACTTTCACCTTTTTTTCCTTCTTTTTTTTTTTTCCGCACTAAACAACATTCAAATAAAACATGGCACAGGACATATTTTAAGAAATATCAAAGCTCAGGGATTTCTCCCTTTCTTGCCCACCTCTACTGCCCACACCCTTAAATCTCCCCAGCATCAGTCCTTTAGCTTATTCTTTAAAACCACTTTTTGTTAGTTTGTTGCAAAAATTTAGAAATTTTTGTGCCCCCTCCCATGTTTTGTTATAATTTTTTCCCCCCCTTTAAATTAAAAATTTTGTTTTGCCTCACGTAAATTGTGCAAATGTAGCAGTTAACACTAGTGGCAGAAGGCCAGAGAGAGAGAGAGAGAGAGAAGTGGGGAGAGACAGAAAAAGAGAGAGTAGGAGGAGGAGAAGAGGGGGAGGCCAGTTGGGGAGAGCAAGTCAAGTACAGTAAAAACAGGAGCCCACCCACCCTCCCTCCCCCAAAGAAACAACAACATCCAAACGCCGTCCTAGAAAGCCCCGCAGTCCCGTCCCTCCTTCCTCGTGGGCTCAGGGGCTCTGCCCAGGCAAAGGGGTGCCCAGCGGGTCCATGGGGCAGGAGAACCCCTTCTCCTCCACCTCCCCTCTCTGCAAGGTCCCTGCTGCGTCTCGGCGGGATCAGGGGGTTGTGTGAGTGTCGAGGGGTGGAGGGGGGAGGGTAGTTATCGATGTTGCTGCTGTCGTTGGGATTTGTGGATTTATTTTATGTGGTTGTTTTCGCTCAAGCGCGAGGTTTCCTTGTTAGTCCGTGGGCAGCACGCGGGGATCCCGCGGGTCCATCCGGCCCCAGCCCCAAAGTCTTCCTCTGCCCGTGGCTGCCGCTGGGCCGACCTCCCTCCTGTGCCCCTGCCCGGGGTGCTGGCACTGCCCTCTCAGCTGCTTAAGGCCATTGTGTCGATCACCTGCTCCAGCTTACTCCTCAGCCGCTGCCTCCGGGCCTGCTCATCCTTCTCCAACGCAGCTAAAATCTGGGGGAGAGAGGGGAGAAGAGAGGGTGAGGAGATGCCCTCCCACCCCATGCGGCTCCTCGTTGCCCACGTGGATGTGCTGGCTCATTGATGGCATCGGGGCACAACCCGTGGGAAGTGACGTGGGTTTGTTCCTGTCCCTTACAGAGCCAGGAAAGAGTCAAAGGAGGCACAAGGTGGAGGACATTGCCCTGAGTGCTGCCACCCCACAGACAGAGCCCCCTGTGACCCCCAAGGGGCTGCAGTGACACCAGGGACCTGGCTCATACTAATGAGAAGCCAACTTGCACATGGAGAAATAAAGAAAACAAACATCCATCATCAAATGGAGGGTGTACCCCAAAAACCAGGACAACATCACCTTCCCACCACGTCTGTGACTCCAACTCTCCAACGTGCAAGGGAGGCAGAAAACTGGTTCCACAAGCACAGGAAGTCCAAACCCATGAGGTGTAAGTTGCCACCAGCACCAAAACCTGGCTCATCTCTCCCCAGGGTGCACAACTGAGGGACACCAGGGTGATGGAGGGGAACACCAGATGGATACACCAGCAAATCCTGCCTCACTGGGAGCCAGGAGTTCTGTGCAAGGGATGCACCTCCAGCCATCCAAGCATGGCTTTCCTCTGCAGAAATCCCCTGTCTCTAAACCAGCTCCTGGCCATGATGGCAGATTGCAGGGTGAAAGGACTGTCCTCTGCCCTGGGCTGGATGCAGCCATGCCCGCAGGGCTGGAGAAGGAGGGGGTGGAGGATGAGACTCAGAGAGGGGAGAAGGGAAGTAATGAAGCATAAAATGAAGGGGCAGTTGCCCTCCCAGCAGCCTCGTCTCCCTCACATCATGCCAGCAGAGCAGAAAAGCTGATTTAAAAAACCAAACCTGACAGAAATCTCATCTCCTCGGGTGAGCTAGTTGAGAGAGCACATTTTTTGCAATTAAATATCAAGGCATCCGTCAAAGGGGACTTGATTAACCATTTCATTGGCTGCATAATTGGAAACAAACTGTTGTATAATTAATAGACTTACTAGGAGGCAGGCAAAGTCCATCAGAGCCCTACAGGTAACTTCTTAATGGGGAATCAGTTCCCTTTGATTAAGAGCTGCTGCAGCGCCGGCAGGTTGTGGGAGCAGCGCGTGGGGCTGGACTGTGCAGCATCCACCACACTGCCCTGCACCAGCCTCCAGCCACCAACACACCCTGGCTCTCCACGAGGCTTTTTGGGACAGGAGCAGGCTGGTCCCTGTCTGCTGAGGCAGTAGGAGATGCCTGATGGGGAATCTATTCCCAAAGGATGGGGGAACACTGCACCTCAACACCAGCATCAGCTCCTGAGGAGGGGAAAATTGGCCAGCGAGAGGCAGGCTCATCTGATTTACCTCCTCTGGCAGCAACAACCCCGGGCTGCAGTTGGACTTCTGAGAGCTCATAGATTCTGCCACAAACCTGCCAGTGGGGACACTCCCCCACCATCCATCTCTGCAGCCACTATCAGGCCTCACGCTACACGCAGGGTAAAGTAACAAAAACAACACTCATGCAGACATCAAAAGCCCACGTGACTGAAAGGTGGCTGAGCTGGAACCAAATGAGATGGGTCAGGGAGGTGGAAGAGCAACCTATTCCCCCCACCTACCTCTCCAATAAGACAGCTACATATCTCGGGATGCTGAGGTATCCAAAGACTCACAACCTGCCCCTGAATTATTTGCTCCTCTTTTATCTTAGCCTGATGGAAACAAAGCAGTCAAAGGGAACCTGGGCTGAGTGTAGACAGAGACCCAGGTTTGTCACCTGCTGTAAGGAGCCAGGACCACTGATTACCAAGATGCAAGTACCAAAATGAAAATTAATTATGATTTTCATTCACAGCCAATGACAGCATATTATTGCACTGAACAACAGGAAAAATTATTCTCTCCCATTTTGCATCAAAGAGGGTGCAATCGGGCTGCATATAATTGTGCTTAATGAATGAAAACAAACAAAGGGAACAGCTGCGATTTATTAATCCCATTACAAATAATAAAAGAAGTTCCTGAGAGCTGTGAACACACTTGTAATGTTTGGAGAGCGGGTGACAGCAAGACACTCAACAGATGTCAGACTGTCATTAGTGGGCAAGAAGAGGACCTGAGCTCCTAAAGGGTAGCTCATTAATGCCACATATTCCCCTCCCTGCTCTTGCCCAGGACTTGGAGGATCTATTTGAAGCTTGAAGGACTTTTAGCCTGGAGGAAGCAAGCACCTGATGATGGCTGAAGGATAATGGCTGCACTGCAGCAGGTCTAGATCCTCCAAACTGCTCCTGTCCCACCCTCATGGTAGCCTCAGAGCTGTTAGACAAACTGTAAAATCCCTGAAAACCCTTCATAGCCAACTCATCACATAGAGGGGGGTGGCCTGGATATGCCATTGTAAGTTGCTTGGGGAGCAGCAGAGAGGTCCCACCAGCATGGTCACCAGCCACGCACTGACCACCACACAGTGCCTTCCCAAGCTCCACGTTTTCCTCTCATACCTGTAGGCAAGCCAAGCCCTTCTCCTTTTCCTCACTCTTCCAAAGCATCCAGCTCCATGAGGATTTTGGTCACCACAGTCCCAGTGCCAGCTTTAGACCCACTGGCCAGGTCTGCTATGATCTGCCCACGGACTCCCAAAATTCACACCTCAGCAGTGCTGGGAGATGCCCCACAGAATTGCTGCAGAGTATGATGGGGACCCCATTTCCTCTCCCTGGAGGGCAAGAGGCCAGCTCTCCCAGCTCTCTCCAAGTGAGGAGATATTCTGGCACTCTGTCATCTAAATAAGCCACAGTTGTCAGTCTGCTTTATTGGAACAATAAAGCCTATAATATCATGTTATATGTATAGATCCATATTTTACTGTAGTTACATATTTTATTGCTTTAATAAAAAGATGCGGGACGTGGATTTGAGCAGTGCTTTATGAAGTTAATTTGTATAAATTACAACAGAGGGGTTTTTAACCACCCTCCCTGATGTTCACAGAGCAAGCACTAACAGGGCCCTCACATCCTCTAGCAACCCCAGGGAGTGGAGCCAGACACTGCTTGTATAATCACAGTGTTGGTACCACCATGGTGCCAGGTTGGGAAGAAGGAAGGCACACTAAGACAACACCCCAAACTCTGCAACTCTGGGGAGCTCACATGCCAAATGAGTAGAAAAGTAGGTGTTTCCCACATTACTCACTGCAGAAAATACAGGGAACAAAGCACTGCCTACACCAGAACTCAGTTCCACGCTTCCCAGACCTTTTCTTCCCAGCCAGACCCAGCCCAAGCACAGGCTTCATTGCCCTCCTGCATTTCACAGGGTGTTTTTCTACAGGAAAAATCGTGGTGACTGCACAAACGAGGGCACAGGGACACAGCCTGCAGCCAAGCCTGACTCCCCATCACCACATCTTACCTCATCCTTGTACTTGGTGATGTAGGAGTAGATCTCGTGCAGCGCGCTCATGCTGTTGAACTGGCTGAGGTGTAACCGCGACTGCTCCGCCAGGTACGCACTCATGTCCTGGTCACTGATCGCTGGCATTTTAGCAATATCTGCATAATATCTGCAAGGGGGAAAGAGAAGAGTGGGTCAGAAGTAGGGACAGATTGAAGGGGATGAGCCCTCACCTGAGAACAGCCTCTGAAGAGGCAAGGTGAGGAGCAGTCACTCACAGAGAGGTCTGAGCGCTCTGCAGAACAGCCAGCATCATTAGCAACATGTTGCTGATGGAGCACTGCCCAGGCCACCCACTTCTGAGCCAGGAGCTCAGAAGTTACTGCTCACCAAAACGCTATGAGGAGTTTTCACTTTCAGCAAAAAAACAAGGTTCTGCAGATACATCTGAAATCAGGGATCCCAGGAAGCAGAGGAGGTAGCTGATGTCTTAGGGCATACCTGGGCCAAATGACTCGGTGCTTTCCTTCCTTTCTGTGCTTCTCTGATGGTTGTTACCAGCAAGAGTCTACCTTACATTTCTTAGGACACTTGAAGATTTGCAGTCCCCTCCCATAGCTGCCTCACTGATGTGCTCAGGAAATATAGGGAAACCCAGACACAGGGTTATACAGCCCAGAATCACAGTGGGAAAACAGAATATCTAACAGGATATTCATAAAAATCCAGGGAGATCAAAGCCATAGCATCCTGTTGCAGAAAGAGAGTTACACCAAGCAGATGCAGCATTGGAATATCTGCTGAGGTCCTTTTGGAAACCAGGGTTTTGTTCACAGGTCTACCCACAGCAAACAAGCCCTGGCTGCTCCCACCACCTGGAAATACCGAGTGCCAGCCTCTCCTAGGTTTACTTTACTCCTCATGACTCCTCCAACAACTCAGAGAAGTTTGTGATACAGTGACCAGCATCATCAGCATGATCAGCCAAACACTGAGGTGGAACATGGCTGAAGCACTTGGGTAGGAGCAGATGGCAGGGAGACCACTTGAGGAGATTACTATGAGGATCCACTCCATCCCATGGTGCTGAACTCAGCTACTGTTAAAATACTTGGGTAGTTTTTACAGAGGCTCATTCACACCCAGAAAACGATGCCAGAGACTTCCCAGATGCTGCCAAGAGAGGAGTGATCTGAGATGAGGATCTCTGGCTAAATCAGGCATCCAGAGATCTGATATGTGGGTCAAGAAATCACTCCCACAGCAACATCTCCTAAAGCTGATATTACTTCTACCCGTGCTGAGTAATATTAAGGACAATATGCCAAATATTTTCAATACCAGACAGCTTTGGTTAGCAAAAAAAACCCATAGAGATCCTTTTGGCAACCCTCTAAGCCTGCAGGTGAAGGCCCCTGTGGGAAGGGACTCATGGGAGATCAATGTACAAGGGAGAGTTGCTGAAGAAGCAGCTTTTATGGCTGCCACAACAAGATGTCCAGGTAACATGCAGCAGTTTCACATTCTGGGTTTCATAGCGACACAAAGGATGGCAGGAAACCATCAGTTTTCCGTACAAGTGTGCACAGCTCGTGTGGACCAAGATCCCAGTCACAACCACCATTTCCAGAGGACACCTACCATGGCCATGGCCCCAGCAGCAGTACTCTTAGGTTTCCCCAGGCTCATCACCTCCCCAACCCTTCCCTGTGCTATTCCTGCCTCAGATTGGCAGGGTGTCCTTTTTTTCAGCTGGTGCCTGAACCACAGCGGCAGACAGACCTGCTGCTGGCACTGGCAGTCCCGCTCAGCCACCCTCCCATCCTGCCTCTGCAAAGCTTTGCCACCACAACTGGGCCAAAAGCCAGAAATGCCCATTACACCATAAATCTCCACAGTAGAGGAATGGTGGGAGACATAGTCACACTCTGCCCAGACACAGACACCTCTGTCACAGAACTAGAGCAGCTCTACCACCTCTGGGTCCATCCCGGCTGTGAGCAATGGGAGAACATCTGTCACCAGTGAGATCTCCCACCTCCCCCCAGGGGCACAGCATGTCTAGACTAGTGTTTCTCCCTGGAATGGTTTTATACCTATTTTTTTCTCCAGGCACACACAGAGCTGAGTATTTTTGTCACAGAGATGGCAAGATCTGAGAAATTCACCTTCTGAAGTTTATGACATTCCTACGGGACTCCACTCCAAAGCCCCCTCCAGCCCCCACAAAGAATTTTCTCCTATTACAATGCAGCTCATCTCTCACCTCAGCCATCATTTTTCAGGGGCACCTTCTCTTCTGATCCAAGCCCTATCTTCCTCGAGGGAAAAAGCTTGTCTCTGTATGGGCCTGCAAATCATCAGCCATGCAAACTGTTCAACAAAAGTAACTGTGTACCCAAGCAAGTACCCAAAGGACAATTTAGGCTACAAAGTTTCATGCTTGCAAACTAGAGAATATGACACTTGTTGCCTGGACATCTTTTATTTTGTTCATTCCATATCTGGTCTAGATGCTGAAAAAGGGAAGGGTCCTCAGTATATAAAAAAAACAACAACACAACAGAAGCATGATTTATAGCACAGCTAATCAGCACAAGGGGAAAGTTGCATCAGCAACCTGAAATCTGCCATTTTTTAAGCTTGATGAAGTCCCACTTTACAAGATGGCAACATTTTAAGAGTAGCTCTGTTTGGAGGGCTTTGGAGGACATCTCCTAGATTTCTCTCCCAAAAGGATAAAGCTAACACAGCATTATGCCTGAGCACATCAATTTGCAATCAGTAGCATTCAAACCCTGAACCTTTAACACTGCATTAATTCAGC